ATATTATAGGAAAAGAAAAATTGTATTACGGAATTTAGTTTAATTGTACATAAAAAAAAGAAAGTGGATAAACAAAAAATATTTAATTCTGTCTTTTGATTTACACTGTCTTTACATTTTATTTAATAAATATCATTAAAAAGACAACTGAATAAAAACGTGTGCACATGTATGTACCACAGACCTAGAGTAATTAGGAATTTCACTTGGACAGTTTATTTTATTATTTTATTTAACTAATCAATTAATTAGCGTTATAATTAATTAATCACGGTGCACGTTGACTAGATAATCAATAAGTTATTATCTCGATATACATATACATAGAGTACCGTGTATTATCACAAACAATCGTACTTTAATTACAAGTATATAAATTAATCAAAAAGAAGCTCGTACAATATTTACAATATCTCTTTACAAACTTTTAGTAAACTTTTAGGAATTGCGTTTCTTATTATTATAATATTAGGTCATGTTTCGTAAGTCCTCTCGCTTCGTTCCCCGGTACATTTACCAGAATTAAATTTCAAGAACATAGAAGTATGGAAATTATATTCATTATGAATCTCATAACACGATTAAAGAAATCAAATTATATAATAAAGCTATTAATTTGCGGTCTCAATTATTATTAACAGATTAAGAGAAGTAAATCTAAAATCTCGTGATCATCATTTTGATTTAACGATTACTAAATGACAGAACTAACGAAACAGCCTAACTTTACTTTGGAACAAGACCTCTGGTTTTCGGATACACCGGAGCCGGTATTTGTTGTATCTTGCCCACGCTCTTGGGCCTGATTTTCGCCGATTGCAGACGAGGTTTCGCCTTGAGTTTCGCATTGGACGCGTCCACATCGATATCACCCTCGTCCCTCAAAGCCTCCTCGAGAACTGCTTGAATGGTAGGAGCAATCGCGGGTCCCTGATAATCCAGAGTAGTCCTGGCAGGCATATCTAGGTCCAGATTCAAAATATTATCTCCGGCATAACGGGAACCACGTCCCATAGCCAGAGCTATCCTAGCGTACTCCGAAATCGGTCTCCTAGCCCCAGGAATCGAAGTGGGCCTCTTGATCACATCGATACTCGAAGGATCCGGGTCTTTCACTATCCAACAATCCTCCTCTTCGTCAAGATGAATCCTGGACAAGATCTTGTTCTTTTCTTCTTCAGGAATGAAATTCTCAATTATTAAATATTTTAACTTTAACTCTTTCATTAGCTCGTGCTGAGTTTGTTCCAAATCCCTCCTATCTCTATTGAAATCATTAGTAACATCTTCTAATTCCTGTTTCAAGACTTGCAGTTTGTTGAAACACTTCCGAAGCTTTCTCGATTTAACATCCACCTCCTGTTGTAGATTCGTGTAAGTCTCTTTAACGCCAAGCATCGTCAGCTCTTCGCCTTCAAGCTTCTGTTGCATTTCAACCTCCCGTTTCTTTCTCTCAGCAATTTCGGCTGCTTTCTGTTCTAAAGCTCGCTGCTGTTCGTTAGTATGATCAATTATATTCTTACCACCGCACAGCATCTTACTCTCCAGATCCTTAATCCTCGTTATCAGATTCTCTGTCTCTTGTTTCTCGGCTTTCAACTGTTCTGCTATCAACCGTTTGTCTGTTTCCACTTTGTTATCTTCTCTGCTATCTTCGGCTTCGGATTCGGACTCCGCTGTCTCATCCTCTTTCTTTCGTTTCGACTTCTTCTTTCTACTCTTTACCATTCCTTTCTGAGCCAATTTCTCCTTTAACCTGCCGATCTCTTCCTGATACTGTCTCAATAGAGCGTCCTTCGGATCCTCGTTAATTCTAGGCTTATTCTTAATATTCTTAGCTCTATTCGCGTAACGCAAAGTAGTCAGAGTTTCATCATAATTATAACTCGCCGGGCCTATGTTCGCGACCATGATCGTCTTCGAATTACCACCCAACGAATCCTGAAGCAGTCTAGTTAATTTTGAATCTCTGTACGGCACATGAGTCGTTTTTCCATCTACCAAGGCTGAGATCACGTTACCCAAAGCTGAGAGACTTAAATTAATCTTACTCGCTTCTTTCAGCCTCTCGCCTGAGGCACCGGTTTTGCTTTGCCTCTCGCTACCAGCCAGATCCACAAGATTCAAACGACCTACTCTGATCCCACCGTTATCCCCTATAGAACCCATTTCGATCGTTATCAAAAATATCGCATGCGACCTGGAACTGTGCTCGTTCATATTCGTAGCTCCTATAGTTCTGTTTTGATTGCCGGTGTTCATCAACTGCTGGATCTCCGTCGCACTTTTGCACACGGAAGTCGACAGATCCTTAACGAAGACCCCGGTGTCCGGTTTCTCTTTCAATTCAAATCGAAGGGATTGATCCGGCTGCAGCAGATCTCTTATCTCTTCTTGATAGATTTCTAAATAACTGGCTCTGACCAGGTACTGCATGTTCTCGGATCTACCAATGTGATTGAATATGTGCTCGAACGATCTAGGGATCACGCCGCGTTTCTCGAAGTCGTTTTTCAACCCTTCCATCGTGTACGTTTTTCCGGTGCCTGTTTGCCCGTACGCGAAGATAGTCCCGTTGAAGCCGTCGAGGACGGAGGACACCAGTGGTCGAACGGTCTCCTCGTAGAGCTCCTGCTGGCTCGAATTCCAGTCGTAGACAGCATCGAACGTGAATACCTTTACGTTATCAGTGGACGGGTCGTCGCGAGGGTGGCGGATCTCCACCACCCCTCGCGTAGGGTGCACGTCGACCACTCTGGTGTAATTTTTTGATTTCTCCTTTTCGTCCATTGGTCGACATCTTACCACGACTTGCACACATTGCGTAACCACGTCCGCGGAATTCGACTTCGGGCATCTCTTCTTCCACGTTTTTCCTTGATTCTCCATTTCGAGCTGAAATTCGCACTTATCTTTTAGAAGATTGAATCTGAGGTAAATGTCTCACTTTCTGTACACGTTACAGTTCTACTCGCTGGCTTGTTTTTCCATAATCTTGAGATAACGTAACTATAGAAAAATATGCCAGTGAGCGGAAATTGTAACGTGAACAGAAATTTTATACATATACAAATGTATTTTTCTGTTGTGATTTTATTCACTTTTATATCACTATTAAATTTGCTCAAAAACGTCTCTTAAAAATTCATTAAAAATCGTTTGAAGTAAAAGAAACGAAAGGACAATTCTGCGAAGTATTTATATATGTAAATCTCGCTTGGCAATTCTTAAAAATTCATTAAAGATAGCTTGAAGCAGCGATTCTTAACCAAATAGCAAATATTAATCACCTGATCCTTTGACAATTGCAACAGTGTTAAGAAATTTTTTGGCGCTTACCTTTTCTCTCAATTCGAAGCTATTAGAGGGTAGCTGGTGTCACTAGATAATTGTTAGCGAAAAGGAATAATGATTTTTCTTGGTGTCACCCTTCCCAACGGAGTATTGATCCATCGCAGGTTCTCTCTCTCACTGTCAACTCTTTTTTGCTCTCTCTTACTTATTCCTTATAAATTTCCTTATAAATCCCTAAAGTTGCCTGTTCTTAAATCCTTTCGCAATAACCACGAGGACGTACACGACTGATTACGACTACATTTCGTTTAGTTTTGACAGCGAGAAGACAAGGTTTCCGTGGCAGCCAAGCCTAGCGTCGTCGTGCCAGTGCGCACGGATGGAATGGAATGGAATGTAGCTACCTCGATGGTTTCGGAGTTTCTGAGAGCTGACGGCTGACTGGATCGATCTCTCCCTAACATTTAACCATCGAGTATACCTCCTCGCTTACCCACATGATAGTCGAGCCATGCTCG